GTGGGCGGAACCCGGAATGCCCCCAAAAATACGGGTTACAGACGGCGAAGGATCGGAGCTTATAGTGTGTCCATCCCCGCGTTCAAAATAAGAAAATTTGACGGCCGCAAACGCGTTTTCCAAACGCAAAACGTGGTAGAGTAAACCTTAAGACGGTTGTATTAACATCTTCTATTTCAATGTAACATCTCACTGGTTTGCACGTTTGAAATGAATAGTCAGACCTTTTATGCTCCTTAACATAGTTACATATGTGTAAAAATAAAATAGATATTTGAGTAACGTCCTTGTTGAATAAGTATGCCATTATAATATAAAGAAGACGGTGCGTGAAATTGTATACGTATGAATAACATCAACGATAAATATATGGTCGGTGTTATTCATTATTTATACATTTGGTTGATGACGTGACATTTAATTTTTTATTAAATAACCAGAAGCCCTTTATGAAGGGTGTTTCGCCGGTGTACTCTTACCAATCTAGAGATATCAGATATCATTATTTATAAATAAATTGGTCTCTTGATGCATAGGGGTACGAGCTCGATGAATGTTAGTGGGGTGGGGGTGGGGGCAGAGCCTGTAATGCCCCCCAAAATTTCGGGTGGTGGATCCGGTCGCCTACGAGAGGCGAACGAGCAGAGCTTATCGTGTAGCACCACCCCAACCCTCTCCGCAAAGAAATTTGGAAATACATCAACTTCAAAGTGGTTCAATATATCCTACCTTAGGTGACTTTCCGGAATCCCAAACTCCAAGCATAAATCAATCGTCGCGGGGTATAGGCCCTCGCGCTGTAGACGGTGGTGCCGGTCGCCCACGAGAGGCGAAGGAGCAGAGCTTGTCGTGTAGTCCTTCTCCCAACCCTCTCCGCAAAGAAATTTGGAAATACAGCAAATTTAAAGTGGTCCAATATATCCTAACTTAGGTGACTTAACGGAATCCCAAATCCCAACCAAGCAATCAATGGTCGCGGGGTATAGGGCCTCGCGCTCCCTGAGAAAATTTTGAAAATGCGTATTTCTGCTATTCAAGCCCGTGAATTAAGCAACTTCAAAGTTTTCAATCGGTTTGAACCAAAATCCCGCTCTAAATTCCAACTATCCAATCAGACTGTTACAAGTACATTGACAAATAATAATCGATGCCCGAAAAATGTCGCACAAAGTAGGGCGGCTCCAGACAAAATGTTTTAATCCACAGTCAATTCAGTACAAAGTCGTGGCAATCTGATTAAAACGCAGATCCTATTTCGTTTCGATTTTTATAGTTCAAAATTTTGTTTTGGAAAGATTGTTATATAGCCCGCATTCTGCTTGGTGTGTTGGTGGCTACGTGGGTAAGGGCGCTGGCTCGCTACCCTGGAGGTCGGGTGTTCGATCCCTGCATTGGCCGAGAAAGTTCATCACGATTTTCCAACGTGGTTTCCCCTTGTCAGTGATGCACGACGGAGGGCCTGACAAGGACAGCTGTCTAGTCCTTTGGATGAGACGAAAAACCGAGGTCCCGTGTAAACATTGGAATGCACGTAAAAGATCCCTTGGCAGTTGGAATTCGATATAAGAGTAGGCGATAGTGCCGCTACCCGGGCAAAATTTCCCACATAGCGCACTGTATGGCGTATGCCCGTCTTCATTAGCCCAGTATAGGAACAGAACAGTAGGACGTTAAACCCCATTTCATTTCATTTCATTTCTGCTTGGTGCGTATGGAAAGGTATCGCTGCCAGTATTAAATGCTCTGCTAAAATGTCGTTTCCATTGATTATATGTAAAAAGTACAATGTACAAAGTCCTAATACCGGTAATGATAAAGTCATTACCTCTAAGGCAAGACTTAAATATCAAACGTCAAATGTTAAGTATCAAATGACAAATGTTTTGTTGGAAAATGCTTTTTTTACGTGTCTACATTTTACATTTCCCTCATTACATTTTACATTTGCGCTCTGTCACATCTCATTTGTCCTTCACGCTTTCTGCATAGCATCTTTCGCACAGCATCAAATTTCATGTGCAAATGTAGGATATCACATGACTTATTAACATATACGGAAACCTGGCACACTATAAGTCAGCACACTATAAGGATATTCATTGCACGATAACAAGAAATCAAGCTGGCACACTATGAGGAATTATCTGAATGACCGTGCGTAATCATGAATGTGCAAGGAAAGAATTCAAAGAGCCATAGAAACATACTTTCCGGTAATTTATAACTCGATAACTGAAATTTCGTATCAATACCTGTATTTTGACAGTTTAAACACTCCCAACCCCTTAGAGGTAATGACTTTATCATTACCGGTATTAGAACTTTGTACATTGTACTTTTTACATATAATCAATGGAAACGACATTTTAGCAGAGCATTTAATATTGGCAGCGATACTCTTCCATAGGTGTGAGGGGTTAGCCAATGGAACGCTCTGTTGCAGGAAGCCCTTGGAACTGTGGGTATTTAACTAGAAACAACAACGCTGATTGGTTAATCATATTTATGACTCCATAGGGCCAAACCAAAAGCCGCTCTTATGACCTCTGACGCGACCTCCCACTACAACTGGTCAGATTTTCATGTAGGAGAGGCCATCGAATGTATAAAAAAAAGAACGAAATATAGATCTGTATTTTAATCAGATTGAATTCGTGGTATTCAATGAAAAGTAAAATTAGTGTTTCCCTCATCATAGCACACTGCATGGCGTATCTTCATTAACCCAATAGAAGCACCATTTGATGAAATTCTGGTGTTTTGACGAGCAAACCCGATCATACGGTATCGAAATGTCACAGGAAGCACGTGGGAAGGAAGGCGTTCACGCTAAACGATGCATTTTAAAGTCATCAGAATCTGAAAACGTTTGGAAACAAAAGATTATTAGTGACGATGGCGGACTGGGTCTGAAAATATTGATTGTCAGGAGACAGAGGGGTCCCACCCACCTATACAATTCTATCATTTAATTCTTAAAATGAATAAATTAAATTTCCAAAAAATATATAAGTGGAAACAAAACCAATACCAAAAAAAAAACCGAAAAAAAAACCCAATCAAACAAAAAACCGAAATAACTAAAAACTTACGATATGATACACTCACTAACAAACAAATAAAGTTCTCGGTATGACACTTCGATATGACAAGTAAACACCCACAAATTTCTTGGAAAATCACTGACATTGATTGCTTAGTATCTCTCTGTTTACGTGCTTTTTATCGAAATATTACGTACTTCGACCACTTTGTTCTTGTCTCTGACACTTAATGCATATCGTCTTTTTTTCTCCGGTTTCCTCCCACTGCTAAAGACCCCTACGCGCATGCGAATAATTGAAATAAAACTGAACCATGTGTTAGTCCCAAAATGACCTAGTTTGAGTCGAGTGGACGTTAAACCCCATCTCTCTCTCTCTCTCTCTCTCTCTCTCTAATATTTGAAGGTAACTGAAGATATTTCAAGGCAAGGTACACTATGGTAAAGACCTTACAACCAGCTAAATATAAAAAGAATAGTTTCTCATGACATTTTAAGATTTATATTGTAGACAATAGTAATTATCATAACCCCGTAATAGAATTGAAGATATAATAGAACTTTTATAATATTTTCATGCTAAGATTTTTAAAAAAATATTTATATATTTTTTGATAATTTAAATTTTAAATATATTGTCTAATGTCTAAGGGGTTCCACTTCCTCAGCATCCTCGGTTACCCAGTGTAATAATTCCGTTCTACTCCAATATACCCTGGGTTAATCCATAGGGTTTCCACGATTTCAAATTATCTGCCCTGGCCTAGAATGTAGCTACAGTCTACGAACCAATCAGAAAACAGTTTACAAACCAATCGTTTCGCTTTCGTTTTTATAAGGGTAGATAACCATATTCATGTCCATTTACTGAATGATTTATGTAAATAATATATATATTTATAATTTATTTATATTTAATTGTATTATCAAAATCTGTAATATGTGTTGTTGATTTCAAATATGTATAACATCTATATTTTTGACTTTTGTTATTATTATTACTATTCGTTCTTTGTCTGAAATAATGTTCATTATTATTGAATTCTCAATAACTTGTCTACGTTATCACGTGGACATAAAATTCTGGGAACGAACGAACGATTCTAAATAAAACTAATGACCCTACATTACTATATGAACGTCTGGTTGGTTGTTAATAGTTACACATTTAGAATAGGCCAACTCCTAACATTGTCCGATGATAGTTACTAACCTTTGCCAACTTTTCAAATAATAATTTATTGGATTGGTCGATAAAAATAGCACAATCATCAAGGGCGGATAACTTGAAAACGTGTCTCCCCCATAGATTAACCCAGGGTATAGTGGAGTAGAACGGAATGAGTACACTGGGTAACCGAGGATGCTTCCTCAGGGGCCCACTTGCCATTGGGCAAGCTGACAACCCGGCCAGTCCGTCACCGATTAGTGAAATGAATCGTTTGGATTTTGTCGAATTTAATAATAAATAAAATTTATTTAAAATAAAGATTCAAAACATTTTCTGTAAAAATAATACGGCAGTGCATAATATATAATCTAATTTAAATTCAATTATGTATATATTATTTCGTTGGACATATAATTTTGGCTATTGCGTTTTCTTATCAATTCTTTGGTCTATTTCAAGTCTAATTGTAGGCGTGGAAGTAACCATATTAGCACACACATTACTGTATACAAGGTTTGATCTCGCTTTAACTCGCTAGATGTTGAAAAGTTCGCGGTCGTTGTTTCTGGAACATGACGCATTACAAGATTAAGAGATGGAACTATGTCGTGAAAATCGCTTAATAAATATGATCTAATTAGACATTTACAGAGGGCCTTGAACCCTAAAGCGTTTATACAATAAAATGATCTATTTTCAGAAATTTAAACCCCTTTCATCGAAAGAAACTGTAGAAATTTATACTGATACTGACTATTCCCGGGTTGTTTTTCAGCAATATCAATCCCTTTCATAGAAAGAAATTGTTGAGGCATGTGGAAATTTGTACTGATACTGACTATTCTCGGGTTGTTACGGGAAACTGAATCTTTGGATGAGATCCGATATCCTGATGATGCCAGTGTATATATTGGTGGATTTTTTAGTGTTTATCTTCCTGGATCCAGTGGTTGTTCCAGTACCGCTGATCCATATTCTATACAGGAATTTGAAGCTGTGAGATGGATCATAGATAAATTGAATAACAACGCATTTTTAAATGGTTCCGACAAAATAGGTAAGTGGTTTTTTTTAAATGAAAAAAGTCAAAGAGAAATACCACGAGGAAAGCAGTCCTGCACTAAAAAAACAAAAAAAATAATGTCATTGTCTTGTCCAACGAGTGGGTTATGTGGCCGGTAATAAAGGAATATAATATATTTAAATTCAGTCTTTGCCAGGAATTCTATCTGTCATTGAATATTAATCAAACTGTCAAAAGAAATATCACAAAGCTGCATTTGTTTCCATTAGCTAGTAACTTGTTCGGAAGAAATCAAAACATTTCGCCAGAATGTCCATTATGTAAGTGTGTTTATGAAGATTTAGTCCATGTTATATTACAATGTAAATATTACAAAGATTTAAAAGTAAAAACTTTTTACCGCAGCAATATATTTGTCAATATACCAATCACTTTAAATTTGGTCAGTTATGTACTGATTATGATCTTAACACCCTTTCGTCTTTTTCGACATATCTCATTCAGACTTTATGAAGTTTTATCAATTAATCATGTCACAGACATCATATGATTATCATTCTTTAACAACATATCTTGATTATATAAGTTGGGGCAATGTAAATACTACTTATATCAAATAAATAAAATATTTACATGAGCTACATTCAATTTTTAATGTTTGCAATTCTGTAAATAGTTTCGGCTTATATGTATATTGAAATATTTTGTATCTATGGATCATTTGATCTTATCACAGAATAAGGCATTATTATTATTATTATTATTATTTGACAGGTATACATGCTTATAAAACTTGTGGTATACCGGAAATGGCTACCTCATCGGCCATAGACTTATCACAGACGTATCCCAACACCTCCCAGTCAGCATTTCTGTTTGGTACGTATTTGCTCTTGCTACATAATAACCTGTTATACATACAGACAAGCTGGTGCTAGAAATCCATCTCTACGTTGTTAATGGCAATGCTTGGTACTTACGTACATTGCTTTATACATGAAAATAGAAAACAAACTCCGCGATTTAGCATGCCGTCTGTTTCCACGTATGTGTCTGGACACATACTCCCAAACGCCTGTCCAGATGGGAGGGGGCAACGAATCCGGGCCCTCTCCTGTTGGAGCAGAGCATCTTTTTTTCGCTCTTGCATTCTTAGCAATAACGCCGAAAAAACATGCGAGGTATTGCCGCCGTTTTGGTTCACTCCACGGTAATCCTATACATGTATATACATTTATGCACCTAAATGAGCAGAAATATTGTCTCAAATCTTCTGATTTTATCAAATACTGAGCAAGCATCTAAAGTAAAACCTTCCTCCTGGTCAGTGACCTACTCCATACTAAGCAACTAAAGTAAAACCTTCTGGAAACACCCTTGCAAAAGTACCATAACGATTCTTAGTTAATTACCGATTTGGGGTAAATACACCCTACATTATGAATGAAACCTTCTGTGCTACATATCTATTTTGAAATGTTATCAACTTATACGTTTCAGCTTTACTGAGTCCAACAAAAAGTTCCGAGGCCAAACATGTTTCTCGTCTGTTCAGTCTCCTACCCGAGAAAGATCGTTTGCTCATGTTGAGTTTTGGCGCCACATCGACTAAATTAGCAGACCAATCTCTTTATAAGAACTTTTTCCGAATAACCCCACCTGATAGCGTACAAGTTCAAGTAAGTTTTAATTTTTTTCATTTCTTGAGAAGTTGTATTCAATGTTTTAGCTGGAGAAGCGACCGGGCAGTTGCCGTGAATATTTGGCAATTGTGATCAAATTATATAGTCACCTAGCATGATTTTATAGATTGGACAATATCTGTCCCCAATAACGGTACCATAAAAGGTAACTGGGCAACGAACTGTTCTAGGCATTAACCATTGCACAGAGATTTTGCCACTACAAATGTCAAATAGTCGACTTTTGTTTTGTTTTCTGTAGGTAATGTTGGAGCTAATGTTGGAATTGAAATGGAACTACGTAGGAATAATTTATGAAGATGACGATTATGGTAAAGATGCAGCTCAACTTCTGAAAACATTGGCATCGGATAAAGGCATCTGCGTTCCTGTTTACTCTTCCTTTAATAACACAAATAGTGACGAAATGTTTGAACTATTTGTACTGAATGTTTTGAATCATAAACTAGGTGGCATCATTTATATTGGTTCCGGGAATTTAATTACGAAATTGTTGGAATTGTTACAGTCTTCGAGTTTAGTCCTTGACATTGAAATAATTGTATCAGAATCCAATAGACTCAACTCTCTTTATTTTCGTAGATATGGGCAAGCATACTTTCCCATTTCTAGAGGAATATTGGTAACAAGTGCCCCTAAAATTGAGTTACAGGAATTCACTGAATACTGGAAAAACATAAAGAACAAAACATTTTCCCAGTCGTGGATTAGTGAAACAGGAGATTCTGGGGTTCTGGATTCTGAACAATCTGTGTATGTAAATTACGCTGTGAAAGCAGTTTTGGTTTTAGCCAATCTATTGAAGAAACTGAGTCAAAAGCATTGTGATGGTAGCAACACCATTTGTCCACAACTTCGTCATTTATCCAAACAAACATATATTGATGAAATGGCCAACTTAAAAATAAATCTTACGGCAGAATTTCCATACACATCCCAAATGTTCCAGAATACATTAGCTGAGAACATCACTTTCAAAGCCAACAGAGAAATTAACTACAACTCAGAACCGAATCAGCAAGAATACGAAGTCTTTAACTTTCAACAATGCACTAAACTTACAAACTGTAGATTTGTAAAGGTAAGGAATTTATTTACAATAGTTCCTATCATAATTATCTAAAGGATGAACTCGCCTGTTTTCCCTAATGTTTATGTTTAAGGCCGAAGACCCTCCCCGAGCTAACCCTGACCAAAAGATCATGTTGCTACTGATTACTAAGCCCCTTGAAGTCTTAGGGTGACAAAACCGCCGCCAAGGACAAGATTGGATTTTCCAAACCCACATGATGCTATACCAAGTTTCAACACCGTAAACCAGGGATGGACAACCCAGTACATACCGTGTGTCAATTTGTTCACACATGAATTCAAATGCGCCGCTCAACTCCTGTTCCCCCGTCTTGTACTTCAATGAACACTAGTCTATGAAGATAGCATTCGCTATAAAGCATATGCACGAAATCGTTAATAATAATGCGTCTATTTCATCAGCTTTCTATATTTCTGTATTTTGTCTTCTACAGGTTGGCGATTACAGACTGGGGGTGATGAGTCTACACAAATCTCTCATAAGTAGTTATCCTAAGGAAGAGAGCCAAGGCCCAAACACCAGACTTCCATCTGTCCAATGTCCTAACGGGACCGACTGTATAAAATGTATTCCGTCTGATATATCTGACCATGTGATATTTGTGGACGGGGAATGGTATGTTGTGGCGGTTGTCCCTGTGTTTGTACCTGATGAAACAGATACATTACTCTGCACAAACACGATACGAGATTCTTTAGGAACTGACATCGCTGAAAGCATCAAATTTGCTATTGAGGAGATTAACCACCCAAACAGCACATTGATATCTTCTAAAAAGAAAGTAGGGTTGATTGTGATAAATGGTTGTGCATCTGAACTTGTAATTAAAGACAAACTTTTACGTTTACACAAAGGAACTTATGAACTCAGACCCGGAATGAATAGTTCAGAGATTAATCACAGAATTCTTGGTTATGTTGGAGGGATGAGCAGTAGTATGAGTGCGGCCATGGCTGAAGTTCTGGCTAAACTTGGTTACGTTCAAGTATCCTACGCCTCGACCAGCCCACTTCTTAGCGATAGAACTCTGTATCCCTACTTTCTGAGAATACCTACTGCAGACGACCAACAAGTAAAAGTGGTAATTGATATGGTTACCTCCCTTGATTCAAACATCATCCAGGTTATTTACACCGAGGGTTCCTATGGAGAAGGTGCTTATTCCACATTGGAGAAACTTGGCAAGGACGCAGGAGTATGCGTTATAGGTCATAAAGTTCCTGTAGCCACCGACTATACGTTGTATAATGGTTTGCTGGCCAAGTTAAGGGAAACTCCACAAGCTAAGTTAGTGGTGACTTTTGTAAGGTCACATGTTATTGAGCATGTAGTAAAAGCTGTGACTGAGAGAATGGCGGAAAGTGAATTCATATTTATTGGATCTGAAACCTGGGGAGGCAGAGAAAGCGTCATTCCTGAACAACAACGCAAAGTATATGGTTCACTGAGCATTGCTTTAGAGTTGCCTCCCATTCCGGCATTCATCCCCTATCTCACTAAGCAAAATATCAATGACCAATCTGATCAATGGCTCCGTCGCTTCTTAGAAAAAAGGGGAAAGTGCATATTCACCGGAAGTTTCCAAAGAGCTGGAAAAAACGAAGTCAATGGTAAAACCAAAGAGTGTGACTTAGAAAGTTTAGTGATGTCACTTTATAACCAATGGATACCATTTGCTGTGGCCTCAACAAAGGCTTTGGTTAAAGGCTTAGAAAATGTTCTCAGTTCAACAACTTGTGGCCAGCCTGCAACGTCGTGTCCTGAACAAAACCCCACACTGTTGGCAGAATACACGAAGACGGTATGTATCCCTTTCTCTGTAACGAATCCAAAATAGTACCAGGAGATGGTCCAGTACATATCCAGTCCATAGTACTAATTAATTTATTACCATTTTAGTTTATGGTAGCGGTAAGTGTCATTCAAAAAGTTTCTACGTGCGTAGATTTCCGTGATTTCGATAGATTATTAAGTCAAGAAATATATCAAGCTTGAGACTTGAAGCCAACCCGAATCCTGGCGACAAAGCCCACCAGAAATGTGACAGAAAGAAAATAAAATTAAACAAATTAGTAATCATAGACTTGGTCCAAAGGGCAGACGCTTTAACTGTTTATCAAAATACTTCAATGCTCTTAATAAAATTCGTCCTGTTTTCACTAGACCGGTTGATGCAGGTAAATAGGACCGTAAACCCCATTCTTCCATTCATACACATAGAGAATCTCCTACCAGTCGTTTTTATATATAAAAAAATATCAACACAAGTCGATAATGTAAAAAAGAACGCAACCCTTTCTTACACGCACAAATAAATAAATATAAACATATCGCTCAGTAGATTATGAAAGTTATCACACAAGCGGCATCTACTGTACAATGTGTTATGGGGTGAAAAACATTCATTCAAACAAATTTTTAAGCATATGCCCAGCTTGATGACTCAGAGTAAAAATAGTAGTGATATTTGATTGGAATTTAGTACGTGTTTTTTTTTATATTTACAGAATGTAAAATTAGATTTATATGGTAAAGGTAGTCAGGAAAGAGTTTTTGATGATAATGGCGATGGTGTTGTTAAATATCTAATAATGCACATTACTGCAGGAGAAAAACGATATACACAAGTAGGCATTGTTTTCCTTTTATAAACATATAAATAAATATCTTGCTTACAAATAAATGGGGTAAATTTATTACTTTCTAGTTTTGTTTTAACTTCATGCATATCTATATGGATATTTTTTTGTTGAAACCACATTATCTTGGTGAGTATGACTCTGGCTTACTAACGAAGAGGTCTCGGTGTTTTGGTGAACATGGCTGGGGCTTTTTAACAGAGGTCCGAGTTTCTCTGTGAGTATGACTCTGAATTACTAAAGAATGGGTTCGAGTTTCTTTGTGAGTATAACTCTGGCTTACTTCCGAAAAGGTCCGAGGTTCTTGCGGAGTATGGCATGACTTACTAACGAAGAGGTCCCAGTTTCTTGGTGTGTATAGCATGGTCCTAGCTTACTAACAAAGAGGTCACAGTTTCGTAGTGAATATGGCATGGCTTCGACTTACTAACGAAGAGGTCACAGTATCTTGGTGAATATGGCGTGTTTCTAGCTTACTAACAAAGAGGTCACAGTTTCTTAGTTAATATGGCATGGCTCCGACTTACTAACGAAGAGGTCACAGTTTCTTGGTGAATATGGCATGGCTTCGACTTATTAACGAAGAGGTCACAATTTCTTGGTCAGTATGGCATGGCCCTGGCTTACTACCGAAGCAGTCACAGTTTCGGAATTTGAAATTACCGTGGTTTATTTCGCATCCCTTTTAATTTACATCCAGCCTTAGATGATTTGATACTTTTTATTGACTTCTTGGTCTTAAATGAAGAAGAGTGTTTGGTAAATATTCATGATGGACCTTCAGACTGCTTTTGACACGGTCGATCACTAGTATCAATATCTACTAAAATGACGTCATTGTCTATAGATTCCTTTGAACGGGCCTAGTAAAATGTGGGAATGGTCAATCCCTTTCACAAATTTTATTCAGATAATTGTGACATGTTGGGCTCTGTGTGATTGCGAAGATTAAGATAATCGGGATGTCCACACATATATTAAAGACCAAGGAATCTCTAGGATTTAACATTGAAGTTATTAGGGGAGAAAACTGACACCAATATCGAATTCCTTCAATCCGATTATAAATCAACACAGTGATGTAATATAAACGCCATATTTTGATATTTTATTAGGTTGGGTCATGGTCCAAATCTGAAGGCATCATCTTCTATAAAGATTCGTTATATTACTCCGTTAAAGATTATAATTCTGTATGTCTAACAGATTATACATGCAACAAATGTTTCTCCGACAAGATGGAGTAAGTATGCATAAAATAAAAGTTTTATCATTTTCTATGGACATCATCAAAGGTTAAACAAAACTAACACTTTTATTGAATGTGGTGGTTTCAGGGTGGTCTACTGGTCTGCACAAGTTACCATTAATGGTAGTTATTCTGGGTGACTTTGAAACATTATACTGAACGAAAAGACTTGTTCCTTCTACCTATTAGCAGTTCTCATCGATCACACACTACAGACTAGGCTTCGTTAATAGTTACATCTCATACTATCTAAAATTTCCAGGGAAACAAGTCCTGAACAGTCCACAGATTGGAAGATTCCTACTCTGGCTGTGTTAGTTTGTCTTTTGGGTATTTCTGTAGTCATCATAGCCATTCAGTGTCACCGATCATGTCGTGATAGAAAATTGCAGGAACCACATTACGCTGAACCCGAAAACATGACGGTACAAAACCACAGAAATGATCCAGGTAACTACTTATATCTTAAAGCACAATAACGTATTTGATTTATGCTTTCATTTACGGAATATAGCAAATGCGAGAAAACGTCAATGACATTTAGATCAATTTAACCATTTTACAGTTAGACCACTTAATGGCCCTGCTTGATTTGTCAATACCGGCGCATACCGACTGACCACAGTTCTGCAGTTTTTGCGCAAGGTCACTTGACTTCACCGGAAGTCGACAAAAGTTCGGCTGCGGCGTACGCCGAATGCGCCGCTTTGGCGGCAGCGGCGAACACCGGCACAAGATGGTGAACATGTCAACGAGATAAAATTCACGTTATTTAGGAATGCCATAAAACATTAATTTTAAAGCGTTAAAATTAAACCAAATGTTTTGAATTTGAATTTGAGCATCGTAAAACCAGAAGTTCATTTGTCATTTATTTTTTCTCAGTAATATTACTAATAATAATTTGCTCCTTATTTTGCGGGCACTTTCAGGTCATACTTTCAAGAATACTGTTTTTGATTAAAACATATGTCATGTAACCGGTTTAATATTATATCATTATCCGACGCCATATTGTTTATCAGCCCGGTCACTTGATTTGCTTCGGTACGGTAACCTAACCGGCGTACGCCGTTGTAGAAACCGGCTCACCTATCGGCGGACAAATCAAGCAGGCCATTGGTGTGCAGAAAGGTGGTAGATGGGCATACATGTCAGGATGGCATCCAACCAAAGAATGAATTTAAAATTATTGCTGTTTAAAAAGTTTCTCCTGTTTTTACATATTCAAAATTTCTGCCTCTCTCACAGTTCTGAGTACGAGGTTTTGTACTTGAGTCCTGTTGGCCCCGTGTATCACTAAACCTCTGCACTCCACTGTACTTAGCTACGAGAACGTAACTAAAAACGTTGAAATATACTGATGTGCTTGTTTTTAGCTACGATTGGGTGCCTTTAGTTTCACCTGGCAAACTTAATTTCTTTATTAATGCATGTACCATCTTAAAAATAAGTTAATTTTGTACTATTAGTACTTATTACACATACGCAGCCCAATCTACTAAAACAACATTCATTTATCAGCAAATATTGTCAATAAAGTAAATCAAGCGTTGTTTTTATAAAAATTGATACGGACATTCAGGTTAGTCCTTTGATTGGCTATTGCACACCTTTATGTGTTAAGGACGTAAATTTAAAATGTCGGAGAAAGCAATCTATTATCGCTTCGATTTAAAAAGAGGGGATTTGTACTAGTGCCAGGTAGCATTTTCTCCTTAATTGTAGTTGGGTGTGGCGGAAATGTTATAAATAACAATAATCAATCGTTGTTTTGATGAAAATATTGTCAATTTTGCTTACTGAGCCCGATGTGATTCGCGTTCGGATTTGCTACGTGGAACTATATAGGACCATCTCTTATCTCGAAACACGGAGGGTTGAGAGATGAGGTTTGTTATCTACACTGTACTGTGTGTAGCAAGTAGCCTTTACGGTGATGAATCTAATTTACTTACTTTCATTATGGTTGTTATTACAGGCAGAAATGTACCCAATCAGATTAGTTCAGATATATATTTAACAGCCTCGTCCAATGGGGATACAGGATCGCACACTAGTTCGGCAGATGAATCAGCAAAACCACCTCAATATGCCGACAAACACCAGTACAGTTCTGTTAGTAGTTAATCACGCAGAACAAGATGCAATAGGTCAACAATCAATTGACCACCTTCTATAGGGATTTAGTTCCTTTTATTTGTACATAGTTATTTTTTTTCAAAACTTTTATTTCTACTCTGCATGCCTTATTGTGTTGGTGAAGCCTTTGTGGACAAGGATGTCCCTATTTCGGGCCGAGAAGATCTTTCGCGACTTTTCAAGATGGCCTTTCACTCACCAGGGATCTCGTCTGGGAGGTTGTCTGATCGTTCTGATTGAACGAATGTTTGGTTAAGGCTAATAACCACGATTTTAAGGCGGAATGATCAGAAAATAAACCAAAAATTGTACCTAGGACCATCTCCAGTTATGTTGTGGTGTCCCTCAAGGATCCACCCAAATGACGTTATTATCATTATATATTTTTTTTATATAATTTCTTGTGTTATAGTTCACTTTGTGTATGGCAACAATATTGGTATACAGATATCAAATAAAATTAACTAGCATCTGCAAAATAACACGAAACATATACATGATTGCTGCCATAAAACGAGGATTGATTAAAAATATCAGTTGCAAGAATACATCATCTGTGAATATTAACTTTGAAGTATTTGTTTTACTAAGAACGGAACTGGGTCCGAGGCATTAACTCATCTTGCCGTTCTGCTTATTGTTCTTCAGGTGTCAGAGGGAGAGGCCAGTTGAAGTTCAGTATACCTGAAACTTTGCATGGTTGTTCTTGGACAATTACGCATCGCATGACAATTGCGCATCGATTTTTGATATAATGTAACCACTCCATGATAGCTGCGATGACGCCATGCTCAATTCGTGGCCCATAGTACAGTTAGAGCAATTTTTTCTCTTTTTTTTTTACGAAGAACGACACCCTGAATTTATTACAATGTATATATCCTTATAGTATTTTATTTTTTTTACCCGACATTCATGAATGTATATCGAATTTAATCCTGTTGTAATAATAAAGCAAGACAATAAGCCTAATCATTACTTTTAGCGATTTTACTATTTCGTGGGTATCCTGTTTAGCGAATCTTATCTTCATTCAAAGTAATCTACTTTATGAGAAATTGTTTTTATATTTAAAGGTACATTGCTACGAATGTATTTATCGGGTGGTTATTTCCAGAAATACTGGATTACCCCCCCCCCACCCAAAACAAAAAGAAAAAAAAAGAAACCACACCAATTTGAATACGTTTTTAGTAGAAATATATTATCAAATCACACAGTTTTTACGCTGAAAAGTATTATTAATAATTACATAATGTAAAAATTTACTTATTACTATTTTGTCTATTCAGTGGAAGTTGGAGAAGCTCAAAGAAACAAGAATTAACATTAAAGGACAATAATGGTGCCAGTCATTATCACATATGTGATAGAACTGGTTAAACACGTTCCAAATATTATTTTATCGCAGAGATCATTGCTACGATAGATGAGTAATCAATGTTTCAACAATAGGAAGTGACGAACGCAAAAGGAAAACACGAGTTATCCCTCTATTATAAATGACCGAATTGACGGGTGATAACAGATACATGGGTGAATTTCTGCTCACTAATAATTCCTTCGAAGACCAAAAGTTGTTGTATGAGGCTGTGGGTATGCCTTCTTCTAAGAGACTCCCCCACTTATGATGTCGGTAAACCGGCCTACAAGCAGAGGCGGCTATATGTCCTTCTAGGATTAGCAATGGTGAAGCGAATTTGATGCAGCTGTTTAATATATATCAAACGTTTAGATATGTTGACTCTTAGGACGGGCAATTACCATTTTTTGATAAGTGTTTCATTTGAGCACGCATTTTCATGAACATTGTTTATTTAATCTGTGCAGATATGACTGGACCCCAGTAGCCTACTTCCAGAAATTGTTGGTGGCAGCAACTGTCAGTGAGTTAGTCTAAGAACGTTGAATCTTGCTAAATACCTGTTTATGAATTGTCAGATATCCTTTCGCAGTCCCATACAACAACTTTTGGTCTTCGAAGGAATTATTAGTGAGCAGAAATTCACCCATGTATCTGTTATCACCCGTCAATTCAGTCAGTTATAATAGAGGGATAACTCGTGTTTTCCTTTTGCGTTCGTCACTTCCTATTGTTGAAACATTGATTACTCATCTATCGTAGCAATGATCTCTGTGATAAAATAATATTTGGAACGTGTTTAACCAGTTCTATCACATATGTGATAATGACTGGCACCAATATTGTCCTTTAACGTCAATGGCAGACATTATAATTAGAGTTGTTTCCCTTGAACTTCCTTTGAAAATCAAATCTGCTAAACATTGCAACCTCTATCGCGTTCGTTCACAAGGTTTTCGGAAAAGGGGTGTATATCTCAATGATTCTCAACAAAATTTGAAAAATATCCGTTCAAAATTGTGGCCTCGATCGCGTTTTTGGATAAAAGGACTTTAGGAAAAATCGAATCCGTAGCATCTATCGCATTAACAAAACAATCGAAACAATCGTTTGGCGATGCACAAGAAATAACAATATTTTATTGTTAACAAAACAAAGAAAGATTATCAAAGCAAAGTGGCACTGTCCTAGTCACGAACCCCCAGAAAACGGGGACTGTGGCACCATAATGTGTCTTGGTAGGACTTTCACGCGGTGTAAAACTTTAATAATCAATTAACTCTGGAACACTTTGTTGGTTTATCTATATATGTTTAAAGGCTCAATACCACTCTTGTTGTAACTGAATAATATGTCCCAATCTTTATTCTGATCAACAAATTGCACTATTTTACAATATTCCAATTAATTGATGAAACAAATTTAATCTTAACACATCTAATTTAAAAATTTGGAAAAATTTAACTAAATGATTTGAAAAACGTGACGTAAAGCTTTTCAAATGTGACTTGGATTTAAAAATAATTTCGAACCCTCTGGACAAGTAAAATAGGACTTAATGGATAATTTACACCACAGGTAGGACACTAACAGATCTAGTACTTAGAATAAGGCTATTTTTTATTTTTTGGAGCTGTCAAGCGAGCAAGAGTGTGAAGCTACTCGTCCATTCCCTAGTCATGTCTAAACTCGACTACCACAACCCCGTCCTTTATGGTGTCGCAGACTGCCACCTACAAAAGCTTCAACATGTTCAGAATGCTGCAGCACGGTTGATCAAAGGCACCCGGAAAAGAGATCATATTACTCCAGTATTCCGCGAACTTCACTGGCTTCCAATTAAATCTCGAATTAACTATAAAATATTATTATTAACATATAAATCAATAAATGGCACCGCTCCAGATTACATATCCGATCTACTTGTCAAACCACAACACTCTCGAACTCTGTGATCAAATGAAAAAAAACTCCTTGTCGTACCAAACGTGAATCTCCAAATGTGTAGACGTTCTTTTAGATATGCTTCATCTGTATTATGGAACTCAATCGATCCTAATTATCCTCTTAAAAACTCCAAATCAACTGACATTTTCAAACGTAGACTTAAAACATGTCTGTTCCAGTTGCACTTTGGTACCGAAGATCCATCATAAACTTTGCAAGCGCACCAGGGACCTTGTTACTATGGTGTTTGTGCGCGATATAAATTTCCGTATTATTATTATTATTATTATTGTCCCTTTAAAAATCTTAATAACATCCGTAATACAACGGTTATATACAGGAAACTACACACACTGCTATGACATTAAATATAAGCTAAATATAAGTTCCCTATCTCTTAGCTTAAGTTTAGTGGTGTTACACTCGTCTTTCTAAGTCTACTTGGGGATTTCCCTCGGTGGCTAAGCTGAGGCGACTAAAGGTATGTCCCTTTAGGAACACTGAATGTTGTCTCTATCCCAGTCTCTACGCCGAGGGGGCTGTGGGTATGCCTTCTTCTAAGAGGCTCCCCCACTTATGATGTCGGTAAACCGGCCTCCAAGCAGAGGCGGCTATATGTCCTTCTAGGAACAGCAATGGTGAAGCAAATTTGATGGAGCTGTTTAATTTATATCAAACGTTTAGATATGTTGACTATTAGGACGGGCAATTACCATTTTTTCGTAAGTGTTTCATTTGGGCACGCATTTTCATGAACATTGTTTATTTAATCTGTGCAGATATGACTGGGCCCCAGTAGCCTACTTCCAGATATTGTTGGTGGCAGCAACTGTCAGTGAGTTAGTCTAAGAACGTTGAATCTTGCTAAATACCCACTTAGCCCAGTTCTCGTTGTCACCCACTTGTTTAACCACTTTAAAATATTAAACAGAGCAACTTTCATTGTACTAAAACAACCCCTATAGTATTATAGCCACTTATTTTACTGTTAATGCATTTGGGACGGTCGCAAAATTTCAACACTCGCGTCCAAATGAATAACCCGAGGAACTAGGTCGCTGGGGTGAACGAAACCCGGATAGAGAATGATAAATTTTATTTTTGAATCATGAACGGAAATATTTCAACATTTTTTTAACCTGTCACTGTGGGTTATTCGTGTTAAAGGTTTGCAAATGTCCCTAGAGCAGAATAGGCATATCACCAACACTCTGGTCAAAAATTATAACAAGCGGTTGCCATGCAAGATACGCTCACATTTTGCAAGAGACGGACAAAAAACGAGCTAAAAAAGTCATTTTTCATTACAATCAGGGACCATAATCCAGGAAGTTATGCGCCAATCGAATAACGAATAAGGAAACATGATTTAACTTCACAGTGTTTGCTGTGACGGGGGGGGGGGGGGGAAACAAAAATTCCACGACCACTTCATAACGCATCGAACGATTCGCAGAAAAATTATTGAAGTATTTTATGTTTTATGCTACTGGGAGATACTTGGCATCCATCATTCTAGTGAACGAATAACGATTCAACTTCACACTGCCAACAGGGTTCTGCTCAAACTGGGCTAATGAAGACGAATATATATGAGGGAATTTTGCCCGGATAGCGGCGCTGGGGTAACACGTTAAAGAATCCCTAATAGTGGGAAATCGAAATAAGAGTAGAGCGTAGCTCCGGTGATAGGGCAAAATTTCCCCTCATAACACACTGTATCGTGGTTGACTGTTTTCATAGCATAATTATTTACATGATTTATTAACATATTAGGGATTTATGTTCACTTCTACCTCATTCAAGTTTTCCTTTTATATTATTATGCTGTACAAGCGAACACATATTATTGAATAGTTTTACGATTCATTGGTTATGTTTTGTTGGCGTATGTTTTCAAATTTACTTCCTCTTTTTGCTGGAAGTAGTCCAATAGTTTAATATAGCAGTCCTATTTAATACGACTTCATACTACTAAGTCAACAAGCCGTGAAGGTAGGCCTAAGTTTATATTTAAGTAAAAATATTTTATTTTTATTTTTCTGAATTAATAGCAACTTATTGTTTGGCTTCATGAAAACATTTTCCTTATTTTTCTACTTGAAAAAAGAGGACACGTTTATCGATTGCAATTTTACATATTATTATATGGCTAGGCAATTAGATCGGATTCACCCTCTTGGGCATAGCCAAGAAACAGGATCGTTTGCAGTGAACAGTACACTAAGGTTTGTTTTTAACACCTAAGTTAAATAGAGCAAAATGCAATAAGAACCCATACCTTATACTGTACATGGGGGGGGGGGGGGGGGTGCATAGCCGAATGGTTAGCGCGTGTGAGCTGTATAATAAGGTCTGTCATTGAGTCGACTGGCGTGGTTTCGATTCTCCGGTTCTACGTGACAAGGAGTAGGGTCGCCTGTCCAACCTCGTGGTTTTTCTCCAGGTTCTCCAGTGAACTAGTTTGTGTCGTTTGTGTCGAATTGACGTTAAACTCTCTTTCTCTCTCTCCCTCTCCCCTCTCTCTCTCTCTTTCTCTCTCTCCCCTCTCTCTCTCTCTCTCACCAACACACAAACCAGAATTCGGGGTTGGCCGTGAAAATACCTGGAGATTTTCCAGCGTTGTTTTCACTTTTTAGGATCACGTAAAATAATCCTTGACAGAATTCGAATTAAGAGTAGGCGGTACCGCTGTTGACACGACAAAGCCCCCCCCCCCCCCCTCCCCTCTAGAACACTGCATGGCGTATGCGCACCTTTTTTTTTTAGCCCGGGACTTTATCGTCCAACACCAAGATCGATCCAAGGACCTCATAGGCGTTCGGGCTCGATGAATGATAGAGGGGCATATCTGAAATAGGGAATTTAGAAAATTTGACGGCCGCGAACGCCTTTTTCTGGCGCGAATCGTGATAGTGGGAACCTAAGACGGTTGTATTCTTCATCAACGGAATTATTAGTGAGCAGAAATTGGCCTGTGTATCTGTTATCGCTCGTTACTTCGGTCAGTTTTATAGAAGGATAACTGATGTTTTCCTGTTGCTTTCGTCTCTTACGATTCTTGAAATCTTCGTTACGCATCTATCGTTGCAATGATCTCTGTGTTAAAATTATATTTGGAACGTGTTTAATCAGTTCTATCATGTGATAATGGCTGATACCAATATTGTGCTTTAAAGGGGCCATCCTTAATTTAACAGAGTCTCAGAAATAAAAATCCGTGTACGTATGAAATTTAAATGCTAAAATATGGAGAGGTGGTGTATTTACCTTGTCTCAAAATTTCAGCTCAAAATATGGAGTAGTTTCAACGTAACCTTTTTAAAATTTCGGGTCAATTTTTTTGTTGGATGACCCGATTATCTATTGCCGTTCCATTATATTAATCAGAGGTCTATACGGTGCATGGCCCATGTGCTTTACGAAAGGTAAATTTCACCTAGACCTTACTTTTATAAAACAAAAGTCTGGTTTTATCCAGACACTGTATAATACATTTCCAGATGAGGACTGACGGGTTGAAGTTGTTTGAAAACGTATCACGTATATTTACTTAGTTGCTTGGCCCTAACGTAGAGGATTTTAAGGGCTTAAAAACCCAAATTATGCAGTTTTATTTGCCACAGTGGCCCTTGAACGCTGTCACTTGTGTAAAAAAAAAAATTGATTACCTTCCTTGATGAATAAGTATGTCAATAATAATATATAATATAAAGAAGACGGTGTGTGTAATGATTATCGGAGAGATTGTATTCGGCGAGAGGCATACCATAACAGATACAAATATACCCTAATCTTTACCTCATGTAAATGTAATGAAAGGGACCATTCATGTCTTATGAATGTGATATAATCATATATGCATTCAGTCTTATCAAAACCTCTGAAGGCCATACAAACAGTATAATACATCTTTTATATCCACCTCAAACCCTGGGTAAAGTATATAGGGGATTCCCCTGATAACTTGTCACATATTTTCATTAATTTTGAGATCGATATACAATGACTTTAGAAAACAAACACAGCTTAAAGATGCATTATGTCAGAGTTAATTCTGCTTATTATCCTTTTTATTTTGGCTTTTAATGTTATATATCTTATTATTTAGACATTTGAAGAGCCCCGGGGGAAAACGATCTAAGTCACTTTTTCAATGAACCCCAGTTAATTACGCCATCTGGTAGCAAATTGTATAAGCTTTCTGATGAACAGTCAATTTCAGGAAAAACCTGATACAAGGCCCTTCTGAAATGGTCTCCCGGACAAATACGTCCATCCTACCCTTTTATTTGACCTTAATTTGGCTGGAAAGTAGAAGTCAGTTGTTGTACTGGTAATTAAGATTCGTAATAAACATCATTTTGAAGTTGTAATTATACCCACGCGTTGTTCTGTTCGCGTCAAGCATTCTCGTCCAAAAGACTGTTTTGCCTTTTATGCGAAAAGACAAAAATGTAACTTAGATCGTTCTTCCCGTGGACTCTTCATTTGTTTACATGGCAATCACATAATCAACTCTCTAAATCATGGCAAAGCCATGGCGTCATATAGCTTTACTTAACAAAACGTTTTATTTTTTCTTGGTATAACGTTTTACGGGTCCTAAACAAATTGCAAAAGAAACCAATGCAGTTTGGTTCAATGGTAAATATGTCAGACAAAATCATACTCAAAATCGGCCAAGGCAAAATGACACGATTAACAGAATTAAATTTGACGTTCGTCAGGAATTATCGGAGAGCGATATCTCGTACTGAGTGTCTTTCAGTGGTGGAAGGATAAATAATTTATTTTTAAATTCGTCAAACACAGAGTGGTTATGAAAGCGAAATGTGCCGAAAAATCGAATTTGACAAATATCAATTTAAAAAATGTATTTGTCATTTGGTGGCGGGCATTTCTTTCAAAATGACTTCCAAATTTGGTAATAAAAAAAAGAAAAAAAAAGAACCAACATTCATTTGGTAATAAAAGGGCAGCGATAATCTCAAAAATTTAATTTCGAGAATTCTTGATGGTAGAAATTCAAAATGGCCGGCAAAATGAAATCCAAAATGTTGGAATTTTAATTAATCGTCATTTTTTTCCATTGGGTATGACTTGTAATATGTGGTATATTAATCCCGAAATGACATAGCTGCTCTTAAATGAATATACTCTGTTATTCAGCTCGACGCAAGACTTAAAATGAATAGATGCAGTTCGTTTAACTTGAATGTAGATATTATGCATCTATGTTGCATAATTATACAGGACCTTTCGGGTGAATCATATAATAGTATCTTAGTTCATAGTTTTACGTATTTGTCGACATTAAGGTGTACTTGTTCTATTGTTCCATTGAGTCTATGGATTTTCTTGTTTCACTTGACTGAACAAAACATTTTGTAGGAATGTAGGCTTTTATAGATTGAACAAAAAGCTAATAAATGTTGAGATGTGTGGAACATGCTCGAGACGATTTGTAACACGATATATATTTGATACTAGTTGAGCATCAGAACAACATGATTATTTCATTGGAAATGGGGCGCAAATACCCAAAAGAGTCGGACAAACTCTAAACCAACTGCGTCTCCTTCAATGGGCCCTTCAATGTCTGTCTACCTGTGGAATAAAATGTACATTATTTGTATCTGTTAAATTTGTGCGGTTTATATATAAGATTAATATTATTATTAACACATGGGCGAGGAGTGATAAAGTCTTGCCCCAAATAAATTGCAAGAGAAGCCAGAAAGTTTCGGAGAGCTATACCTCGTATCACATGTCACTTATGAAACATATGCCCGAAACACATGTCACACTAGACACCTTTTATTTAAATTACACTGATTTTACACTGGTTTTAAGCTACGCCGATTTTAAATGTTTTATCCATTAGCCAATTTAAAGAAATTTTGATTTTCGAAAAATTGATGATACAATTATTGATCGAAGACCGAAAACTGACACACAATCCAGTAGACGTGGTACAAGGGTTAATCAGCGAACTGGATGTATGAGATGTGTTGTTGACGTTTGGGAAAGTAGGACGAGGGGAAATGTGTAGGGAGTGCTGTAAAGGGATAGTTAGATGTATTATGAATGGTTAGAGTGGCTGTGGTGTTACGGTGAAATATTATGCCGCCACCGTAACACCACAGCTTTATGATTTGTTAGACAGGAGTGATGTAATGGGTGTCAACAACTGGGTATGCTGGTACCGTCGCAACGTAGCCGTGAAATATATATTGTGGGGGGGAAGGGCGGAAACGGAAAAATATACAATGTTGACAGTATGTGCCAGGCATGAGGCTGCGCAGACCGAGCGGCAGCTCGATAGGGAGTGTCACCCTCATAAAAATTTTTTTTTTTAAATTTCAGTTTTCTGTAAGCAGTGAAAACACTATTTTGGCATTGTTTGCGGGGTTAAACCTAAAAATCACATTAATACACCTATTGCACGATATTGTGAAACTAGCTGACAAAGACAGCTCGGGCGGCGATTGTTCGACTCGGGGCTGCTCTGTCAGTATCTAACAAACGCATTTAGTTCGCGTACAACTTTTAAAAACCGAATGTCAGTATGGTATTTCTCACATAATTGGTTATCGCAAAAACAGAGTAAACTGAAAGCCAGTAATCTCGACTCAAACCTATAGTCTATAGCCCACTTACTACACTGTCACTAGGCTTCCTATATTATTGTTTGTGGACGGTTTACTACTCAGTGATAAGCCTGCGCCGCAAAAAGAGGTCTCGCCTTTTATTATTAGTATAATGACTTCCTCATGTGCGGCAGGTTAGTTTGCTTCTAAAAACACTGTTTTCCGTTCCAAAAAATACAAAAGTAATTTTCTACCAGATGACCATGGTTCTTTTCACCGAGACTAGATAATTTCTCTCGGTGTAAGGATATAGCTATGGATAAGTTCATACAAGGTCAATAAATCCGCGGTCACTTCGGGTCACACTGTTGAGAAAATAAACCGATGGGTTTGTTTAGTAGCAAATCGAGCGTGAATCAACTGAGTTTGTACTGAAAAATTTTTGAGTGATATGTATGAACTGTCTTCACACATTCGGTTTATAATTAGCGATACACAGGTACAGTGGCAAATGTTGTACTTCACAGACTGTTTACCTCCGAACTACCTCCGCACGAAATCCCCGATTTGGGTACTTGTTAAAAGAAAAAGAAATAGTACCTGTGCGCGTGCCAGTAAAAAAACCCCTAAGAGTTCGCGCATAAAAATGCCCGAACGTACCAGGCGCCAGGTCATCCAGTAGACGTGGTACAAGGGTTAATCAGCGAACTGGATGTATGAGATGTGTTGTTGACGTTTGGGAAAGTAGGACGGGGGGAAATGTGTAGGGAGTGAAGTGCTGTAAAGGGATAGTTAGATGTATTATGAATGGTTAGAGTGGCTGTGGTGTTACGGTGAAATACTATGCCGCCACCGTAACACCACAGCTTTATGATTTGTTAGACAGGAGTGATGTAATGGGTGTCAACAACTGGGTATGCTGATACCGTCGCAACGTAGCCGTGAAATATATATTGTGGGGGGGGGGGGGGGAAAGGGCGGAAACGGAAAAATATACAATGTTGACAGTATGTGCCAGGCATGAGGCTGCGCAGACCGAGCGGCAGCTCGATAGGGAGTGTGTGGGAGTGTCACCCTCATAAAAAAAATCTTTTTTAAATTTCAGTTTTCTGTAAGCAGTGAATACACCTATTGCACGATATTGTGATTGGACGTGTGAAAGGTTATTCGGGGTTAACGACGTATTGAATAACCAATGAAGTCGTGTTGAATCAACCGTGTTTTGACTCCGGGCTGCTCTGTCAGTATCTAACAAACGCATTTAGTTCGCGTACAACTTTTAAAAACCGAATGTCAGTATGGTATTTCTCACAGAATTGGTTATCGCAAAAACAGAGCAAACTGAAAGCGAGTAATCTCGACTCAAACCTATAGTCTATAGCCTACTTACTACACTCGTTTTTCTGGTGTTTACGTCCACTTCCACCTAAGGTGATATCGTAGACAAAAACTACACTCGTCACTAGGCTTCCTATATTATTGTTTGTGGACGGTTTACTACTCAGTGATAAGCCTGCGCCGCAAAAAGAGGTCTCGCCTTTTATTATTAGTATAATGACTTCCTCATGTGCGGCAGGTTAGTTTGCTTCTAAAAACACTGTTTTCCGTTCCAAAAAATACAAAAGTAATTTTCTACCAGATGACCATGGTTCTTTTCACCGAGACTAGATAATTTCTCTCGGTGTAAGGATATAGCTATGGATAAGTTCATACAAGGTCAATAAATCCGCGGTCACACTGTTGAGAAAATAAACCGATGGGTTTGTTTAGTAGCAAATCGAGCGTGAATCAACTGAGTTTGTACTGAAAATTTTTTGAGTGATATGTATGAACTGTCTTCACACATTCGGTTTATAATTAGCGATACACAGGTAGAGTGGCAAGTATTGTACTTCACAGACTGTTTACCTCCGAACTACCTCCGCACGAAATCCCCGATTTGGGTACTTGTAAAAGAAAAAGAAATAGTACCTGTGCGCATGCCAGTAAAAAAAACCTAAGAGTTCGCGCATAAAAATGCCCGAACGTGCCAGGTCATCCAGAATGGCTCCAGACCAAAAAATCATGGAATTTCTGGCATTTATTTTGCCGGCTAGAAGGCAAAATGGTTTTATCTCCCAAATTACTATTTAAATTTTCATTTTCACTTTACTCGTCTGCACAAAAAATCTGATTTTTAAAAGCGTATGTAAGTTAAATATATATATACAACTGGCGGTAGTTTTTACTTTGATGTCCATAGCAGTTATATCTCATAACAACCTGTCATGACATCATCATAGGTTGATATATTCGTTCATATCAACCGCTGATGACGTCATGACAGGTTGATATTTCATATCAACCGCTAATGACGTCATCTCAGGTCAATATATTCGGCTCATATCAATACAAAAAAACACAGAAATACATTTTTATTCTTTTGACAATTAAAATTTGTTATGGTACAGTTTCTAACATTCAGGACCGAAATAGACGGCGTACTTATCGACATACATGTATTTAGATCGGTTATCCATGTCTAAGACATCTTTCAGAATTTTCTTTTCGTCCACATTGCGATTATTTCTCCACACACTACAAGACTTGAAAGTATTTATCGCCCAAGAGTTCCTTTGTAAAGTATTTTTGGGTACAGTCCACTTAAAACAGTCGGTCAAATCCTTCTCTGAACATACCGAAAACCTTCAATCATGGTTCACTGTCAGAATTCTTGGAAAAGAATGCCTTTTGGTCCAAATTTTCTGCAGGCTTTGGATAGATCCTCGTCGATATTTGCATTCACATCTATTCCATCGTCAATATGTTGGCTAAAAAGGATTGATTATTCGTCTGACTTCGTATTACTATCCATTTTGTTTTTGCTTTCAATTCAATAGTCCAAAATGGCGACATATAAACAAAAACATGCACGTAATTGCACGTGATTACTTCGGTAATTTTCGCTATTTGGCGGAAACTATCGAGCAATTATCCAATCGTTGTTGCCTTTTAATGGAAGAGCCCATTAAATTTAAGAGTGAAATGGCGATGTATATGTCGGATATAAACCTACTATCCCTCGGATTGATATGGTAGAGAACGCTTAATAAATCGCTTAAGAAATATATTGTAATAAGTCATTTACAGAGGGCCTTTAACCCTAAGGTGTTTATGCAATAAAATAAACTATTTTTCAGCAATTTTAACTCCTTTCACAGAAGAAATTGTTGAGACATGTGGAAATTTGTACTGATACTGAGTATTCTCGGGTTGTTGCGGGGAACTGAATCTTTGGATGAGATCCGATATCCTGGTGATGCCAGTGTATATATTGGTGGATTTTTTAGTGTTTATCTTCCTGGACCCAGTGGTTGTTCCATTACTGCTGATCCATATTCTATACAGGAATTTGAAGCTGTGAGATGGATCATAGATAAACTGAATAACAACGCATTTTTAAACGGTGGTGACAAAATAGGTAAGTGTTATTTAAAAAAACCCAAACAAAATAGTCAAAAACATTTTGAAAAACTGTACTGGTCTCGGAAAATGTCACGAGGATAGCAGCCGTTCACATATAAACAATAAATGTAATTGTCTTGTCCAGTCTGTGGTTATGTAGCCGATGGTAAGCCCTGTTGATCAGCGATGCAACACCTCGTGGAAGCAAAGTTGACTCGTGGGGTTTCTCCGAGTTCTTCGGTTTTCCCTATATTTATATATACGGTTTTATACATGTATAACTTCTAAAAAAACACCTTTTAAACACTTGTAGGTTGTTGTTTCAATTTTATTGATATACCCTTACTTTTGTTTATTCATAAATTCCGTCTTTATGGCATCAATTTTGGAAACCGAACAAAATATCTTGGTAATATTAAACACACAAATAATTGTATATGGATCAAGACAAAATTGACAAGGAAGTTTTATTTACATCCCCTGTGATGACATTATATCAGTGAACGACTATAGAACATTACTGTATTATATGTACACGCCTGAGTGGATTTATTCAAACATATTAAGCCAACAGGAAAGTAAATAACATAATTGTATTGAGCACATAGTACTCTTCTTCTATGAGGTACTTCTCTTCTATGAGGAAAATACATAAATTATGAAAATGGGTGTTAATATTAAATTGTAACACTATGCAAAGGCTAAGAATGGATCTTTAGCTAAAATCATTTTTTATTTTCTAGAAAAGACGATTCTCATTAGTGGCGTATTTAGTATGATACAGGGCTTGTAGCTCTCTTCCTTGGGCCCTTAAGTGAAAAGATGTATATGGGTTCCTAGTATCCAATATTTACGACACAATGCATATTATGTTAAAACCAGTCCTTTACGATAGACTCTCTATACAAATATAATCATGTGAATATATATATATATATTGTCAGGTATACATGCTTATAAAACTTGTGGAATACCGGAAATGGCTGTCTCATCGGCCATGGACTTATCACAGACGTATCCCAACACCTCCCAGTCAGAATTTCTGTTTGGTACGTATTTTCTCCTGTTACATAATAACCTGTTATATTTATAAACAAGCACTACTGATGCTAGAAATCCAGCTAAATTACCTGTGATTATCGAGTTGCAAAGTTCAAGATGTGTTCAATGTCAAGGTTTCCATCGCGGTCGCCATGATTGATTTGAGTTTGTTTGTGTCACAATCTGTGATTGGACACTACTGTTTACCTTTCTGCCGTAAAGGAATACAACGTAGCTATAAGTTGGGGAATTGCAAAGCAGGGTAGCAACGTCTAGATGTTGTAAAACTCCCGATCGTTGCTTCAGGAACATGAATGAATACCAGCATACGCCATGTATTGTGTTATGAGGAACATTTTGCCCTGACAGCGCCTCTACAACCTACTCTTATTCCGAATTCCAACTGCACGCCTATGTGTACAATGGGCTTCGTTTTCTTTTGTCCCATCCGAACGACTGTGCCTTGTCTCTTTCTCTTCCTCCGTTCTACACCACGGGAAAATCCCAATGAACTCTCTCGGCCAATACTGGGATCGAACACAGAACTTTCAGGTTAGCGAGCCAACTTCCATCTCACTGAGCCACCGTGCCTCCTCATGTGCCTGTCTCACAATAATCGAAGTATTGTGTTGGCACGACAATAAAGTCTATTCCGTTGCATTTAATTATTTAAGCGTGCTGGGTATATTTTATCGCAGCACTAATTTGTTATCGCCTCTGTTGTGGATGCTTTTTTTGCGAAAAGAGTTCATTGCGTGAGATAAACATTCTAGTTGGCGAGAAAAATATATAAACATTATTTTATATAATAAAACAAATGTCGGATCACATTTTTACTACGATTTCGTCTTCAGCACCCCTGAAAACCTAAAGAAAAAGGAGAGAGAGAGAGAGAGAGAGAGAGAAAGATGGGTTTAACGTCCACTCGACATAAACGAGGTCATTTCGGGACTAACATCTGGTTTTAATTTTATTTCAATACTTCGAATGCGCGTAGGGGTCTTTAGCGGTGGGGGGAAACCGGAGGACACGGGGAAAACCCACGAGGTTGGACAGGCGACCCTACTCCTTGTCACGTACAGCACGCACGTGCTAACCATTCGGCCATCCAACCCCCCTAAAGAAAAAGGAATTAAACGACAAAATAGCAAATAAACGTCATGGATACTATGTGATTTTGTTTTGAAACATACCGACATCTTTAACTTGCGTTTTCTCAAAACTTACTTTCCTTGCTTGGGCAGCTTCAAAAGGTAACCACTTTTGCCCGATTTAAACCAACCATAGATCTTTTTTAAGGTATTGAGATGGAGAATGTGAAAATAACAATAACTCAATTTTCAAAATGACATATACGAAGATGACACCTTATTGTTACTGTCTGGCACCGAATTGTTACTGTCTGACAATTTGGTCGTACCATCTGTAGGCTATTCGACTAATTGGTGGTTCATATAAAGGACACAATTCTATCAAATGACTTGCCGCTGTTCCTTACCATACATCATTTTTAAGGTATTGAGATGGAGAATGTGAAAATAACAATAACTCAATTTTCAAAATGACATATACGAAGATGACACCTTATTGTTACTGTCTGGCACCGAATTGTTACTGTCTGACAATTTGGTCGTACCATCTGTAGGCTATTCGACTAATTGGTGGTTCATACAAAGGACACAATTCTATCAAATGACTTGCCGATGTTCCTTACCAGACCGATCGTCTTGCACCACTGGCAAGGGGAAGCCAGGTTGGAATATCCCGAGAAACTGTCACGGCCATCATCGAGATACCCGGGATCTCTTGGTCAGTGACCTATCTCCAAACTAAGCATCTAAAGTAAAACCTACCTCCCGGTCAGTGACCTACTCCATACCAAGTAACTAAAGTAAAACCTTCAGGAAACACGCTTGCAAAAGTATCATAACCATTCTTAGTTTAAAAAACGATTTAGGGTAAATACTTTACCTTATGAATGAAAACATATCCATTTTGAAATATCACTTATCATTTTTGATATACGTTTCAGCTTTGCTAAGTCCAACAAAAAGTTCCGAGGCCAAACATGTTTCTCGTCTGTTCAGTCTCCTACCCGAGAAAGATCGATTGCTCATGTTGAGCTTTGGTGCTACGTCGGATAAATTAGCAGACCAATCTCTCTATAACAACTTTTACCGAGTTATTCCACCTGATAGCGTACAAGTACAAGTAAGTTTTAATTATTGTCATTTCTTGCGGAAATTGTAATCACTGGATAAATTTGGCAATTGTGATCAAATTATATAGTCACCCAGCATGATTTTATACATTTGGCAATATCGGTCCCCAATAACAGTGCCATAAAAGGTAACTGGGCAACAAACTGTTCTAGGCATTAACCATTGCACAGAGATTTTGCCACTACAGGAAAAAAAACTACAAATGTCAAATAATCATTTTGTTTTCTGTAGGTAATGTTGGAGCTAATGTTGGAATTGAAATGGAACTACGTAGGAATAATTTATGAAGATGACGATTATGGTAAAGATGCAGCTCAACTTCTGAAAACACTGACATCGGATAAAGGCATCTGCGTTCCTGTTTACTCTTCCTTTAATAACACAAATAGTGAAGAAATGTTTGAACTATTTTTACTGAATGTTTTGAATCATAAACTAGGTGGCATCATTTATATTGGTTCCGAGAATTTAATTACGAAATTGTTGGAATTGTTGCAGTCTTCAAGTTTAGTTCTTGACATTGAAATAATTGTATCAGAATCCAATAGACTCAACTCTCTTTATTTTCGGAGATATGGGCAAGCATACTTTCCCATTTCTAGAGGAATATTGGTAACAAGTGCCCCTAAAATTGAGTTACAGGAATTCACTGAATACTGGAAAAACATAAAGAACAAAACATTTTCCCAGTCGTGGATTAGTGATGGGATTCTGGATTCTGAACAATCCGTGTATGTAAATTACGCTGTAAAAGCAGTTTTGGTTTTAGCTAATCTGTTGAAGAAACTGAGTCAAAAGTATTGTGGTGGTAGCAACACAATTTGTCTAAAACTTCGTCATTTATCCAAACAAACATATATTAATGAAATGGCCGACATAAAAATAAATCTTACGGCAGAATTTCCATACACATCCCAAATGTTCCAGAATACCTTAGCTGAGAATATCACTTTCAAAGCCAACAGAGAAATTAACTACAACTCCGAACCGAATCGGCAAGAATACGAAGTCTTTAACTTTCAACAATGCACTGGAGTTACAAACTGCAGATTTATAAAGGTAAAAAGTTCATTTACAATAGTTCTAATAATAATTAGTCTTTAACTTTCAACAATGCACTACACTTATAAACTGTAGATTTGTAAAGGTAAGGAGTTCATTTATAGTAGTTCATATGGTAATTAGCTAAACTGTAGATTTGTAAAAGTAAGAAGTTTATTTGCAATAGTTCTTATGGTAATTAGCAAATGCGCCCGTTTTCCCGAAAGTTTATGAATAACCCTGGAGGAAAACAAACCATGGCTAACCCTGATCAAAAGATCATGTTGCTACTAATTACTAAACCATGTAAAGTCTTATGATAACAATAGAAACTGTGAGACAGAATAGTTTTAGAAAATCACACCCAGGGACAAGATTTAATTTCCCAAACAAACGCGATGTTGTACCAAGGTTGAAACCAGAGATGTTCAACCGTTTACATACCATGCGTCAATATGTTCACCCATGAATTTACTTGTTCCCCCGTCCATATTTATATAAAAAGTATATTTTAACTGAAAAGAAATAAATGTAAAAGAAAATAGCATTTGCTAATACAAAAGTACACGAAATTATAAAGACAATGATTCTATTTCATCAGCTTTCTATATTTCTACGCGATGTATTTTGTCTTCTTCTTCAGGTTGGTGATTACAGACTGGGGACGCTGAGTCTAAACAAATCTCTCATAAGTAGTTATCCTAAGACAGAGAGCCAAGGCCCATACACCAGACTTTCATCTGTTCAATGTCGGAACGGGACCGACTGTATAAAATGTATTCCGTCTGATATATCTGACCATGTTATATTTGTGGAAGGAGATTGGTACGTTGTGGCGGTTGTCCCTGTATTTATACCTGATGAGACAAACACACTACTCTGCACCAACACAATCAGAGATTCTTATGGGAACGACATCGCTGAAAGCATCAAATTTGCTGTTGAGGAGATTAACAACCCAAACAACACATTGATATCTTCTAAAAAGAAAGTAGGGTTGATTGTGATAAATGGGTGTGCATCTGAACTTGTAATTAAAGACAAACTTTTACGTTTACACAAAGGAACTTATGAACTCAGACCCGGAATGAAAAGTTCAGAGATTAATCACAGAATTCTTGGTTATGTTGGAGGGATGAGCGGAAGTATGAGTGCGGCCATGGCTGAAATTCTGGCTAAACTTGGTTACGTCCAAGTATCCTATGCCTCGACCAGCCCACTTCTCAGCGATAGAACTCTTTATCCCTACTTTCTGAGAATACCTACTGCAGACGACCAACAGGCAAAAGTCGTTATTGATATAGTTACCTCCCTTGGTTCAAACATCATCCAGGTTATTTACACGGAGGGTGCCTATGGAGGAGGTGCTCATTCCACATTGGAGAAACTTGGCAAGGACGCAGAAGTATGCGTTATAGGTCATAAAATTCCCGTAACCACCGACTACACGTTGTATAATGGTTTGCTGGCTAAATTAAGAGAAACCCCACAAGCTAAGTTAGTGGTGACTTTTGCAAGGTCACATGTTATTGAGCAAGTAGTAAAAGCTGTGACTGAGAGAATGAAGGAAGGTGAGTTCTTATTTATTGGATCAGAAACATGGGGAAGCAGAGAAAGTGTCATTCCTGAACAGCAAAGCAAAGTTTATGGTTCTCTGAGTATTGCCTTAGAGTTGCCTAACATTCCAGCATTCAACTCCTATCTCGCCAAGCAAAATATCAATAATCCGTCTGATCCATGGCTCCGTCAATTCTTAGAAAAAATGGGAAATTGCATATTCACCGGAAGTTTCCAAAGAGCTGGGAAAGACGAAGTCATTGGTAAAGCCAGAGAGTGTGACTTAGAAAGTTTAGCGATGTCACTTTATGACCAATGGGTACCATTTGCTGTGGCCTCAACAAAAGCTTTGGTTAAAGGCGTAGAAAATGTTCTCAGTTCAACAACTTGTGGCCAGCCTGCAACGTCGTGCCCTGAACAAAATCCCACTCTGTTGGCAGAATACATGAAGAAGGTATGTATCCCTTTCTTGTAACCAATCACAAACAGTACCAGAAGATGGTCCAGTACATATCCAGTACATAGTACTAATTAATTTATTATCATTTTAGTGTAGTTGATTTTGGTAACGGAAAGTATTTCCCCAAAGAGTTCTACGTACCTAGCTTTCCATAATTGCGATATATAATTAAATTAGGAAACATATCAAGCTTGGAACTTGAAGCCTACCCGAATCCTGACAACAAAGACCACCAGAAATGTGGCAGAAATCAGGGAGAACATTTCTCTATTCAGTAAAGTACTCAAAGGCTCTTAATAACTTTCATCCTTTCTTCATTAGACCGTAAACCCTATCCATTCATCCATTCATGCATATATTCTTAATAGGTTTCGTAAAATATCGGCCTATTGATCGGCGCTACTACAAATTTTTACACGCATTCGCAGCTTGATGACTCAGAGTAAATATATAAGTGATACTCTATTAGTAAAAATTGGAATTTAGTACGTTTTTATTTTTATATTTACAGAATGTAAAATTAGATTTATATGGTAAAGGTAGCCAGGAAAGAGTTTTTGATGACAATGGTGATGGTGTTGTCAAATATAAAATAATGCATGTTACCTCAGGAGAAAAACCATATACACAAGTAGACATTGCTTTCCTTTTAAAAAATATAAATATCTTGCTTACAAATAAATGTCCTAACTTGATGCATATCTGGTTGATTACCCTCTTGTTGAAACCACGCGGTCTTGCGGAGACTTTGACTTACTAACGAAGAGGTCCCAATTTCTTGGTGAGCATGGCATGGCTCTGGCTCACTAACGATGAGGGCACAGTTTCGACCCCACTGTTGGCAGGATTGGGACGAAAACCAACCTTCATGTGTACATTGACCGTTGGAATTTGAAATAAAATTGGGTCCTAGCACCTCATAAAGTGCAGAAAAGTTGGAAGTTCAACGCTATTTCGGTTTATTTCACAGCCTTTTCAATTTACAGACAGTCTTGTTTTGTTACTTTTTATTGACCTATTGGTCTAAAACGAAGAATGTTTTGGTCCACACCTACTAAAATAAGATCATTGCCTATAGATTTCTTTGTTCAGACCTAGCAAAATATCCGAATAGTCAATCCCTTTCAAAAAGTTTATTGAGATAATTATGACATGTTGGGCTATTTGTGGTTGTAAAGATTAAGATTATCGGAATGTTTACAAAAATATGAAAGGCCAAAAAATATGGATTTAACATTGAAGTTATTTGGGAGAAAACTGACACCAATAGCGAATTCCTTCAATCCGATTATAAATCAACACAGTGATGTAATATAGACGCCATATTTTGATATTTTATCAGGTTGGGTCATGGTCCAAATCACAAGGCATCATCTTCAATAAAGATTCGTTATATTACCCCGTTAAAGATTATAACGCTGTATGTCTAACAGATTATACATGCAACAAATGTTTCCCTGACAAGATGGAGTAAGTATGCATAAATTAAAAGTTGATCATTTTCGCACAATATCATCAACTTAAAGGTTAAACAAAACTAAACACTTATACTGAATGTACCCCTGAATGAACTGGTGTTTGTTCCAGTCAGCAGCTTCAGGAAAGTCTACTGGTCTACAAAAGTTACCATTAGCGGTAGTTATTCAGGGTGACTCTGGAGCATTATACTGACGAATGGAGTTGTTCCTTGTACCTATTAACAGACTGTGGATTCGTTGAAAGTTACATCTCATATTACATGTATATAACATTTTCAGGAAAGCAAGTCCTGAACAGTCCACAGATTGGAAGATTCCTGTCCTGGTTGTGTTAGCATGTCTTTTGGGTATTTCTGTGGTCATTATAGTCATTCTGTGTTACCGATCATCCCTTGATAGAAAATTGCAGGACCCACATTATGCTGAACCCGAAAACATGACTGTGTTTAACTTTAGAAATGATAAAGGTAACTACTTATATTTTAAAACCAATATCTATTGTATTTCCATGCTACCATTTACGGAATATAATAAATGGAAGAAAACTTCAATCCACGTTAGATCAATCGGACCATGCACAGTAGGCTGTGATTTAGCTCCGAAGTTCGTTTCATCTCGTCCCAGCAAATTCCGGGTGAAAATCTGACGCTTTGTTACATGATTTAACCAGTAGGCCGTCACTGTCGCATACATTTCTGTTCCGATGCATTGCACAATACGTCTTGCACTCGAATTACGTCTGGAACTATATTTGTCAAGTGTAGCCATAATCGGGTGAAAAAATCAAATTCTAAGCCAATCAGAAACCACAAAAGCAAAGATCGTCATAGGTCAAGGGTCAATAGCCATAAATAGACCAGTGAATACCTTTTATGAGACGGAACACGTTGGATTGTTTACATTTGTCTGAGAGAATTTCTCTGCAAATATGCCGGGATAACTGGATAATACCACCTGTTAAATGTTGCATTGACACGGTAAAGACGACTTACCTCTGATCTGTGGCATAAATATGGCCAATAAATAGGAAATAGCACCAATGATTGAATGAATCTTTTATTTTCTGGAAACAAGTATTTCTTCAAAAACTATTTCAGTGAAACAATATCCAAGAGAAATATATATTTAATACAGATGAAAACGATTTTGGCATGCTTGAAATACTGGTTCAGTCTTATAATTGTATATGATGCTAAGAAAAAACAAAAATAATAATACCATGTGATCTGATCGATACAATTAATAATAATTCACCTTCATCAATTTTACTATTTTTTTAAAAAGAGAAAACAATAGACTTATTATAAGAGTATATCTAGAGAGAAATGGGGTTTAACTTCCACTCGACACAAACTAGGTAATTTTGGTTCAATTTTATTCCAATAATTCGCTTGCGTGTAGTGGTCTTTAGCAGTGGGAGGAAACCGGAGGACCTGGAGAAAACCCATGAGGTTGGACAGGCCACCCTTCTCCTTGTCAGGTACAACCGTGGAATCTAAACCACGCCAGTGGACCCAATGACAGACCTTATGATACAGCGCGCATATGCTACCCATTCGACTACCCAACCCCCTATAAGAGAGTATAAGATTACATTTATTTAAAGAAAGAAATTAAAAAAATAAACAAATGCAATTATATAAATTTCCTCATACACAACAATACCATACACCACTAGTATTAATGAAAAATGAATAAAATAATAATAATAACATCATCATTTTTTAAAGTGTATTAATACAGGAGAACGGTTTCTAATGTGCTGTTCAGGTTCTTATATTCACAGAATACATGTATTTACACAGAGATCAGGTCTTGTGCCCATATACACTGTACAAAATTGAAAGATATATACCAACCAGTAAATAAAAGTACATATAAGAGAAAAACAAACAGTAATTACCGAAGTAAAATGGTTCTAGTAAAATGAATTAGAAATGAAATGGTCTAATGAGGATATACGCCATACAGTGTGCTATAAAGCAAATTTTGCCTGGGCACAGCACTATGGCCTACGTTTATATCAAATTACAACTGCCAAGGGATCTTTCTACGTGCACACCAATGTATACACGGGACCTCGACTAGACTGCTGTCCGTGTGCCTTGTCAGCCCTCCGCCTGCACCACTGACAAGGGGAAGCGGTTGGAAATGAATTAGAATAAAAAAAGTAAAATAAAAACATATAGTAAGCATAAAGTGACAAAATATAATATACTATTCAAAAAAAGTAGGGGATATTTGATTTTTAAGTGTTATTAAAGTCACCTAATGAAACTGACGAAGAAACAAATGACAAAATGAAATGAAGTTCACATTCATCGATTTATTCCAAATGATCGTTAGACTAAGTAAGGCACAGACTGACCATTATAAGGGTAAAATGATACCCGGGGTCAAACAGCAAAGTTACCACAGCATCACAACCAAGTCAGTAACGGGTAAATCCTCCTCTGTTTGCCAAACAAGCATTGATCCGACGTGGCATACTCCTAATGAGACGTCTAAGGTCATTTTGGTCCAGATTGTCCCATTCCTGTTGCAACGCAGCAGCAAGTTCTTGGACATTGGCAGGACGTTGTTGACGTTGACGTAACCTCTGTCCAAGCATGTCCCAGACATGCTCGATGGGGGAGAGGTCGGGACTCAGTGCTGGCCAAGGTAATGTGGTGATGTTCTGTTGTTGGAGGTAACCTGTAACGATCCTGGCCCTGTGACATCTTGCGTTGTCATCCTGGAAGATGAAACGGCGGCCATGACGTCATGCGAACGGCACAACATGGACTGCCAAGATGTTGTCCCGGTAGTACTGGCCTGTAACACGCCCTGCAACAACATGTAAAGCCGTTCTTCCAGCAACAGTGATGCCTCCCCACACCATAACAGAACCACCCCCAAATCGATCATGTCTGATGACGTTAACGTCTTGGAAGCGCTCGTTTCGACGACGCCACACCCTCCTACGTCTGTCCAAAAAATCAACAGTGAACCTTGACTCATCTGAAAACATCACATTGCTCCAGCGTCGATTATCCCAGTGTTGACGATCCCTACACCAACGACGTCTTGCCTGAATGTGATGATCTCTCAAACAAGGGATCACGCGAGGACGTCGGGCGCGAAGGTGACCCCTATGCAGTCGATTCCGAATCGTCTGGCCACTCACTCTCACACCAGTGTCTGTTTGAAGACGAGCGCTGATCTGATTTGCTGTGATGACACGATTTCTCAAGGCCAAGGTACGGATAAATCGATCCTGGGCTTGAGTTGTCGCCCTTGGTCGACCTGAGCGTGGTCTGTCCTGTACAGATTGTGTATCACGGTATCTGGACCATAGCCTGCTTATGACAGACTGAGAAACATTCATCGTCCGCGCCACAACCGCCTGTGTTGTGCCGATCTGTAGCATGCCAAGGGCACGTAACCTTTCATTTTGGGTAAGCCGACGCATATCAAAATTTGTTTTCTGGTCACTAAAACAATTAAACTGATGTTTCCACCCTGGAATTCAATGCCACAATGACTGTAACATTCAAAGTCAGAGTCGTGCAAATCTTGGGTTGGACCCCATGATGATCCCAAGCATCACCTGCATTCCATGCGGTAGCTATTGGTGCGTTTGGGCGTCACATGTAACTGGAAATGTTTCTTCTGTTAGGTTCTATAGTGACTTTTTTCGTAGTCATTTGCATATTTTAGTATTATGCCCCCAAAATCAAATATCCCCTACTTTTTTTGAATAGTATATGAAAATTTATTGACATGTACAGTACATTTAAGTAAAACATATTTCAAATGTGTAATATTTAAAAAAACGCTTACAAAAATACGTGTATACAGGTGTAGACCAACTCACATAATTTCATCAATATCATCATCACTATTAAAATCAATGTCACTGTCAGCATATGTTTGGATGTCACTTTAATAACCGAACAGGGCTGTCGATAATTTTTCACAGATGATTAGCAGCACTGCTAATCAAAAAGTCCAATTTTGCCAAAGTTGATTAGCAAATTTAAAAATTGATTAGCACTTTTTCAGTTTCAAATCAACATAAAACACCTAAATAACAAGATTATTTTAATTTTAATTGATAGCAAATGATTAGATTTCATTCTTAAGATTTTTTTAGAATCTTAGCACTACTACAGCTAGCTGTGAACATTTCTGAATGAATGTAGACTTTTGTTAGGCCTTATTATGTCTGAAGCCAATTCTTGGCAGTGGCTTCTTGTTTCTTCGTTAGAAAACAATTTCGTCTGCTTTTTATCGTGTGTTATTATTTTTGTTCAATCGGAAGCACGCGGTATTTTACGAATAATCTCGATTAACTAGACGCACGCGATATAAACAATAATAGTTTACGGGAATTCTTACTTTGATTTCTCACTTTACAATACGTTTACACGTATTTATTTTTTATATTTTATTTACAATACGTGGGGGATACACTGAATTTATTTTTTTTCAAATTGAATACTGATATAATTACTCGAAATTGACATGTCTCGCAACGTGAGTGGTACTACTTGATTCCCTATTTCCGGATTAATAGTCTCGATTCATAGAGTTATGTCCCTGTATTATATAGTATCATGAATTGAGTCTGGGTAGTTTGAGAAGAAAATGTCACACGGAGAATTCCGTTTTGTTTATAAAATTTATTTGATATTTTATACACGTTGAAAGTGTTGAGAAATGTGGATAAATCTTTGTGTCAATATCCAAAATGACAGGCATATTAATGATTCGCAGTTACTGCGAATCAAAAACGTTAGATTTTAATTTTTGATTAGCAACGGACAAAATATGTATCGCAAATTGCGCTGCGATACTGGTTGTCGGCAGCCCTGTATCCGAACAATAGACACAAAACCAGACAAGAAAGTTTTCACTTGTAACAAGTACATCTATTACTGATCTATCTGTAAAAGTGTAATTTTGTTTGGTGCTTGATCTCTAGTCACCCTAACCCTGTCATTTGTTCAATAGAGTTTAACAAGAGGGGTTTAAATTTCCACAGCTACAGTCAGGCAACCTGGGAGGAATGCGCCAGAGTATGCCCCCTTTTTGACTGGTGAAGCAAGGGCAGAAATAATTTCGGTTCTAATTTTCTCCATAACATAACGTGCGCACTGTATCATAAAGCCTGTCATTGAGTCAACAGGCGTGGTTTCGAATCCCCGGTTGTACGTGACAAGGAGTAGGGTCGCCTGTCCAACCTCGTGGGTTTTCTCTGAGTCCTCCCGTTTCCTCCCACTGTTAAAGACCCTATGCGCAAGCAAATTATTGAAATAAAAAAATTATACCATATGTTAGTCCCAAAATGACCTAGTTTGTGTCGAGTGAACGTTAAACCCAATTTCTCTCTCTCCATAACAACTTGGGTATGAGTACTGCACATTGTATTTCACCTCAATAATGATGACACAGTCTTAACCATATAGTGGTCTTCTGTCTTTGACTGAGTGGACTTCTCTATTGGTCCGAGTGATCTTGGGCTGAGTAGTCCTTGGTCTGGGTTGTCATGCATTTAGGAGAATATCCTCGTCAGCTTGCATTTGCAAGAAAATGGGGAAAATGTTAAGACCAGACCTATTATTTTATTCTCTTTCTCTTTTTTGTTTCGTTTTTGCTGCTTGTTTCTAATCATCACTTTCTTCAACAATTTAGGAATCGTGATAACGTTTCATACACAGTTTTGTTAACGTTGGTAACGTGGAATGTGATAAGTACTAAAGTAGTAGCCTCTACCATACCCCAGTACAGTGAGAGTTTTGTCTGCACATTCCTGCCTGGAGTTCTGATTCAGCTTTGTCCAGCAAATCGGCATTTGTCTCCGGTACATTTCCATCTAATTTGATCCACTGGTTAGCACATACCTTACATTTTTCCCAGCTTGTCGCAGTGAACGGTTTTAGCTCAGTGCTTTAACCAATTGTACACGAACTATGCAATTTTACTTTAGCTATCCTTCCGCCATGTACCGTTAATAACAAAACGTAAACAAAGAGTAGGCGACCTTTCACCTCATGACCTGTTGAACGTTTCTTCGTTAATCTTTGATTGGCCAATTATGTCACGTGATCTGTTTAAACCGAGTCACCGCGAAATTCAAATGCCATTGCACATTGACAAGTAAGCCCATATTTAATTTACGTTTTCTATCAAACGTCAAAGAGTTGATAAAAGAAAAGTTGTGTGACAATACAAAGTAATACTAGAAGAATTAGATGATGTAGTTTTTTTTTCACCCGAAAATGGTCGAGACGGAGAAACAGAAGCATGCTAGCTAGAAATTTCACACCACGGCCTACAGTTCCAGTTGTAATAATATTATGGCTTTGACTGATAGTTGTTTATAGATTCTTGGTCAAGCAAAATAACCTCTAAAATAGTAGAAATCTACATGAATTGAACAATAGGTTGATAAACACATTTGTCATATGTCGTCTTCATGGTCATGAATGGGATGTATCTCTACATAAATTGAACTATAGGTTAATAAACACATTTGTCATATGATATCTTCATGATGAAGAGTGGAATGTGTCTATTGACCAAATTTAGTAATAAGTCCCTCCCCAAAGTGCAGGGTAGGGGGTATGATGCCTATTCCATATTTGTAAACTGGAACCATGGTCAGTCTATGACGTAAACCAATTAAGGTGTTGGCACTATAAAATTGAGTGAGGGGGTAGTATTTGGCAGATCTCACACCGCCTGACATATTAGCCATCTACTGATTTGAGAGCGAAGAAGATTTGTGACTAATGCTAGAATAATACTACACAGTGACGTGCAGAAAGGTGGGTAAACGCCGCGAGGATACTTCAGTTACAGTTAGATCGTTCAGACTACAGTGGCGTACATCGATGTAGGCAGGAGGGGGCAACATCCCCGGACATCAATGTCAGAGTGGCGTCCAACCAAGGAGTGAATAAGCTGACGTACTTTATTTGAATTAAACCCTTACCTCATCTGTTTTCAAATATTTACTATGTTTCCCTTTTTCACATTTCTGAGTACTAGAACCTCTACTTGAATCCTGGGACATACATCAGTTACAATTGGGTCATTGTAATGTTCCAATAGCGTACTAGTACATCGCAGTAGGTAGATAGGGCGGCATTCCCGGACATCCATGTCAGAGTGGCACTCAGTCAAAGAGTGAATTTGAAATTATCGCCGACGTACTTCATTTGAATTAAACATTTACTTCATCTGTTTTCACATATTAAAATGAGTGCTAGAACCGATACTTGAGTCCTGGGACATACAGCATCACCAAGCCTCAGCACACAACTGTTCTATAATGTAGCAAGTAGCTTTCACAATGATGAATCTAATTTCTTTGCATTCATTATGATTGTTATTGCAGGCAGAGATCTATCCAATCAGGTTACTTCAGATTTATATTTAACCGTCCCGTCCAATAGCGGTTCTGGATCACCCACCCGTTCGGCAGATGAACCACATCAACCACCTCAACCATGCCGAACAACACCAGCACAGTTATCATAGTAATTATTAATAATGGGAACCAAGATGGAGTAGGTCAACGACCACGTGACCGCCTTGTGTAGGGATTTAATTCCATCTATCTTACATAATGCATGTTTCAAATATTTCATTATTTTTACCCGATATATCAATGGATGTATAATATTATAATTATAATTTAATTTTCTGAAGGTTGTAGTAAAAATAAAGTAAGACAGTAATCCTACTCATTATATTTAGCCCAGTCGGAGCAGAACAGTAGGACGTTAAACTCCATTTCATTACTCATTATTTTAGCGATTTTATTATTTTCTGGACATTAGTTTTAGCGAATTTTATCTTCATTCAAAGTAATCTGACTTATAAGAATTTGTTTTTTATATTTAATAATTTTATCATGTAAAATGCAAATTATATCTATATACATATATTTATAAGAGTTGTATCCCTTTTAACGAATGCTATCTTCATTGAAGGTAATCTGCTTTATAAGAGTTTTGCTTTATATTTAATAATTTTATCATGTAAAAATACTAATTATGTCTATAAACATATATTTACAAGAAGTAGTTGTATGGTGCATTTCAATTCGCGTGTAAATAAACAGGCGCATGGTATGTGGAAGTTTGGGCTCCACTGGTGTAGTGTTTTCGCTTAGACTCGAATGATCCTATCCCCTCAGGCCAAGTCCCAAAAATTTTTTTTTCGCGCCTACGGTGCTCAATCCTATTGTGTCATTATTCTGCAACTCCTCTGTCTTATACAATCTTATCACAATCATATTCACAGTTACAGTGAATCGCCCTGATAGTAGTACCACTAGTAAGTGGGGCGACAGACTGTATAATTGTTATTTCTACTCTGACAAAACAGGCGAAATTGACGGACGGGCCCCAAGATTCTGTCCCATTTCTTATCCTCTCGTTAAGGAGAATTTGATCCCATTTGTCATGCCATTGACTATAAATTTTCAGGCCCAGTCCCCACAAATTAAAAGGTCAGTTACATATCTGAAATTTTCTCGCGCCTGCGCCACTAGATTCCATTATGCCATCGTTCTTCCACTCCTCTGTGGTCTTATACTGCCCCAGCACTATCATATTCACGGTTTAATTATAGTGAACTGTCCAGTTAGTAGTACCGCTGATGCCTGGGTCGTGGGGCGTCAGACTGTACAAATGTTCTGACAACTTTGGCAAACAGGCGGATTGACAGGGGCAGATTTCGAGATTCTGTCCCATTGACTCCTATTTCTGGTTCTCTTATTGCTCCCCGCAATGACCTCAAGTGCCAGGATATTGGTTGCTCACTGCCTCTAAGGTTCACATAAATTTAATTACAAAATCAATAACAATTATATGACATATACTTTATGTCAACTTGAATAAAACTGCTTTCCGACGAGATAACGATCGGCGAACAACTATGGGTAATAAGATCTATGTTCTACCGGGACGCCCAGTATTTTGTTTACATTCAGTGTGGGGTGGCGCCCTAGATTTAGAACCGCCCCACCCCACCCCTATTCCCAGCCTCCAGACAGCTACTGGCTTCTAGAAAACTATGTTCTGTGGTCCTCGGCCCCTGACTGCGTCACTCGTAATATTATGGACATGTGCGTCAGTCGGTCGCATTTTTGCAAAACACCTCCCACCCCCAAACAAAATCTTTATGTACGCCCCGGGAAATCATGCACATCTTCCAAATATAACTTAATAAATCACTATAGTCGTGACTAACTATAGTTGGCGTGTATAGCAACCGTACCGTGTAAATTCGTAGAAAATGTGACTGATCTGTCTACAATAGTATTAAACTAACAAGAAATTCGAAACCATTGTAAACCTGAAAATTAAAACATCTTGAAATATTTAGTTAGATGTTTATTGTAACCGACTACACGTGTAAGGTAAGAAATTCCCTATTTTAATGATAAGGCTGAAATGTAGGTCGTTAAACCCCATTTCACGTAGATAAGTGGGTAAGACGCTGGCTCGCTAGCCTGGAGGTCGGATGTTCGATCCCTGCATTGGACGAGAAAGTTCATCCAGATTTTCCGGCGTGGTTCCCCCTTGTCAGTGATGCAGGACGGAGGGCCTGACAAGGACAGCTGTCTAGTGCTTTGGATGAGACGAAAAACCGAGGTCCCGTGTATACACTGGAATGCACGTATATGATCCCTTGGCAGTGTTTTATTTCTGTCAGTGTTTGATACATTCTGTAAAAATCTAAATACGGCTTTATTTATAGTTTAGCTCTGCAAACGGAATAAATGTCAATTTCTAAATGAATTTCAATCAAATATTTTTTTTGTGATATACTCATAACATCAAGTCTTGAATTGGACAAAGTCTGGACATAGATAAAAAGAGGAGGACTTGGTAAATTACTTTTTACTTTATTTATATTTATTCAATGAAATTTGAATTTAACAACAAATTCAATAGAATTTTATCGCAAATTTTCTCTTTTATATGATATGTGAATTAGACTTTGAAAATATTCTGCACACGTGAACCGGGCATCATGCATAGCCCAATTAATGAGTTCGCATAGGTAAAACATTTTTGTTGTATCTTTTGTTCTTTATTTGAGCAAAAATGCGATCGGTGATTAATAGAAATGCTTTCTAAATAAATCATCTGATCATGGGATAATCCAATAATTAATGTCAGTACATAATTAAATATATACATAGAAAATAAAATAAATTCCAGTTAAAAAAAAATCAGCCACTTTTACTTCTTCATTGTGATATATATATCAAATAGTCTGCTCTTTAATTGGGCGTCTTCTGATGTTATAATTTATATAAATAATTAAACATTAGTCATACAGCATTTAAGCAAACATAGAACAGATTCAATAGATTATATAAATATATCTTATTTATTAGACGTTCGTAAAATTACCCCCCACCACTGGTTGAGTATTATGTATATAAGAATAAGTTATATAGAGGTATTATTATGGGTCAATGGTCAACACTCACAGTATAATTAAGCTGTGTAAAATTATATCATATATATATATATATATAGACAGCACGGTATACTACATATCCTAAACCCATGGTTTTGTATCAATATTACATATTATATGAAATGGATACGGTTCTTGAAACTTGGATATACTGAAAAGATGACGCCATGTTCAAACGGCCTATAAAATCAATGAAGTGGCGTAATGTTCTATAGATATTCACTTCGGTTTTCCCGAATAAATACTCGTGTGGTGGGTCAACAATAGAGACTTTTGGCAAGCGTATTTTCCTGGTCCGTATCGCGTATCCGTATGAATTTTGCGTGTGACGTCATCAATGTCTGTGTATTTCTCATACGTGATACGGCACACGGCTTTCATACGGAAATGGTCCGTATAACACTGTTGTCCTTTTCCCGTCTTTTTTGCTACTTTTAGACGCTGAAATGTTGCATCATAACGTTTTTATGAATCTATGTGTATCCTAGAACACGAAGGTGTATATTTGATGTAATTTTAACAGTGATAACGACTGGAATTTAATCATTATTTTTGATGGGTTTTTCTCGGAATTTTCATATTTTTCCCGCCTGTCTGCATACTGATTGATCTACGGGCTAAACTTTCTGAAATAATACACTAGTGAAACCAAAAATTGCTAAAATCTGCCAAAACTCTAAAACTACATTGACGCAACGTATCACGTATACGATACGGATACGGGATACGGACGGGAAAAATCCGCTTGCCAAAAGTCTCTAATATCTTGTACCGTCTTTAATATTACCTATCTTGTATAGTCTTTAAAACTGAGTTTCTTGTGTATACAGGTCACTCCGTATTACTGAGCGACTTTTTGTTTAGGCTTCTCGTGTCTTTATCAATCGAAACGTCGCTCATTAATAACCAGTGATTGTATTCCATATAATTGTAACCTGTATATTCCAGTTCAATCACTAGATGCCATAATCTTTAAAATTGTATATCTTGTATAGTGTTGTAATTTTAAAGCAAAAATAATCGAGACATTTAGCGTGAAATGTACTGTTATAATTAATTATGACATATTTTATAAAGAAATAAGAGAGAGAGAGAGAGAGAGAGAGAGAGAGAGAGAGAGAAATAGGGTTTAACGTCCACTCGACACAACTAGGTCATTTCGGGACAAACATATGGTTTAATTTTATTTCAATAATTCGCTTAGGCATAGGGGTCTTTAGCAGTGGGAGGAAACCGGACGACCCGGAGAAATCCCACGAGTTTGGATAGGCGACACTACTCATTGTCACGTACAACCGGGGATTCGAAACCACGCCAGTCGACTCAATGACAGACTTTATGATACAGCGCCCGCACGCTAACCATTCAGCCATCCAACCCCCCCCCCCCATAAAGAAATAAGATTTTGATTTTAACAAATGTGGTCCCGGAGCAATGATACTGGGCTTTGGGCTATAATGCAGTATTGGATCAAAAACAACAAAATTATGTTTTAATTATAGGTGTCTATTTGAAAGTTTTACTCCGATAAAGGAGCCTCGGTGAATCATGACTGGCAAACATAATTCGTGTCCTTCAACAAGTAAAAAGAAAACACAAAATTGAAGTCCATAAGAGAGAGAGAGGAGAGAGAGAGAGAGAGAGAGAGAGAGAGATATGGGGGTTTAACTTCCACACGACATAAACTAGGTCATTTCAGCATAAGGTTCAATTTTATTTCAAGAATTCTTTGTTAAAAATAATTTGGTAGAAGGTGTGTAATTTTGCTTTAAAAATATAACTGATTTTGGTCTAATTTAGAATACATCTTTTGGCAAATTATGAGAAATATTTGGTTAATAGAAAAAGAATAAGTATGTTTGTCTCAATGGTTTTTGTAATAGACGCTTAAGTCGTCTGTCGTATAAGTTTCGGGTCTTAATCAGAGAGGCAATCCAAAAATTAAGGTTTTATCTTCCTATAAATATCTTTTAATGAATATATTTTTCCTGACAATTAATGGAATCTATTTAATATTGAATTCATAAAAGATAGGCATGTGTATTACCTTCAGAGGAAGGGTTAGCTCAAGTTAAGAGCATTATGGTAGATTTTTCCTTTTGTGTTGTCGTTTGTTTTGTGTAGAAAGACAAATCAATTAAAAAATTGAGACGTTACAAAACAGAAAATACCTTATGTGTTAAAAATATTCACAATCGTTTATCTCGAGTAAAAGTTGTTTTTGTTTTGTTTTGTATATACTCTGATATTACAGGTGAACATTTGAAGTTTTGCATAATAAATTCGAGAGATTTGTATTCCAATTATGAGTATCGGGTAAAACCCTCAAGAAAGAAGCGTCGCGCTCAAATTAGGGGTAAATGTGGTGTTTTGTTTCGATTGATGAAATGTGCTCAAATCATTCATCATCATTTATCTCTGTTCATGGAGTAGTAGCGCTTTATAAATGTTCATATTATTATTATTATCTCGAGGTAAAACAATATGATAAAATCCTATGTTTATGTATATTCTATTTTTGATTGTGTTATTGATCTTTTTTAATTTTGTAAATAACTT